AAACGAATCCCCTATGTTGTGATCAATCGGGGATATAACCAGTTTTTCCATTTTTCCGTTCCACTCCGTGATCCAGAGTACATGTTCTCGTTATTGCTCTCACCGTTATTTTTTACACAGGAACTAGCATCCCTGTAAGGAGCCACAACGTTGCCCGGGATAAAGTCAAGACTGTAATTAATTGTGTGCTTAAGCATGTAATAGCCATAGTTGGTTTCCTGAATACATTCCGTGAGTTCAGAAGAAACTTAGGAAAACCCGGCAGTTCATAAAAATGACATGCTACATGCCCATCACTTTTTCTCAGAAACCGAGGATCCATGTCGCTACACATGCATTCATTAGTTGTAGTCCTTGCCGATTTTCTATGGTTATGCAGAAGGTCACCAATTGTTCTGCAACTCTTCAAGACGAACCGCATGCGTGAGATCACAAATTCAGCCACATATTCATTCTCGCATCTAGTCCGAATCAGTTTCTTAACCATATCTACGACAACCCTTCTTTCTATGTAGTCTGAGAAGACAACTCTAATAACTTTTTCAACAAAACTTTTCCCACAATCCCTTTGAGAGTTGCACTGGTGCGCCTCCTCAGACTTTCGTTAATACTGCTATATAACTTAATAATGGTCGAAACTTCAAAAGAATAGAGCAGAGGACGGTCAATGGTATCATCAGTGTCTCATCGATTTGAACTATAGACCATCCATGCATCTTCGATAATCTAACCCACCCCTCTAGAAAGACAGACCCACCTGTTATTGAGATTGTGGCAAATTGAACTTTATTTTGCACCATCCATGTTAACATGTCCGACAAGCTCAGAGTCCGCACACCCTGGTCATCAACGAAAGCGCTATTTGGGAACACCTCCTAGTGAACCAGACGACCCCCATTGCTGTCGTGTTTTTTGGTTCGCCCTTTTTGTTTTTGATATGACCGTCGCTCCCTTCTTCCCTTCCTTCATCTTACCTTGTTTTTTTTCTTCTGGCTATTCAGTATGGGTGACCATCTGTTAATAAGTTTAGATTCTACGCACCTCAGTTCATCAAGAGTGAAAAAAATAAGAGGAATAGACACGTAGTCCTCTCAACCTTTCATCTTCAACCAACGACAAAGTTTGTGGTTACTGACCTAACCCCTGAGGATCCAGAGACTACGTGTTCATTCCATCTCTCGAAGACGTGCCTGACTTTTGACCCAATGTAACATGCACGATACCATGGAGAAATCAGGATATAAACACATCGTTCACCGCCTTCGCAGATATTATGCCCAAGTTGTGTTGTGTGCACCCACTGATCCAAGAATGTATTCCCCCATTCGATTTGGCATGCAATTACTAAGAGGAGGATATAAAACCTCATTAGGCTTTGAGAAATTGAGATTCTATGTTCGCTTTCTTCCTCTTGTCCTTTTCTCTCATTCCTCATATCTTTCTCAAGGACTCCACTCTTTCCAATAGCCAAGACGCAGTAAGACTCAAGAAGGATTTTCTTCTTGAGTCTCTTTCGCTGATTCGTTCACGTATTTCTCTTCCACTTCCTCACCATAGGCTGCCTTAGCCTTGATCTCAGCAAGATCCACAACCACTTGTTTCCTGTTGTGATATTTAATTCTTTCATCTTCACACATTTTTACCAGATCGCTCTTGTATTTGCTAATAAGTACCTTCGCCATTTCTTCTATATACTTCTTCCTCCCTTCTGGACTTGGTCCTGCTACAACTGCCTTGGTTCCATCTTGAACTCGGTTGAATCCCAATCCAGGAGAAGCTCCAATGGCAGAGAAGGAACCTGATACTCGTCGTGCAGCATTCCCTGCTACTAAAGCGAAGACGTCAAGAAGTCTTGCCGAAGTTCTTTTGCTGGTTGCCTATGCTGGAGTCGATGGTCCCACAACATCTCTCTACGCTGCACTTCGTGTGACTGATCGATGTGGTGTTGCATCTCATCCTGCATTCCTATAGCTCGCTTCCGCCCTTCCAGTTGGACCCATGGGAGCAGGGGGATTGACATGTTGGGGAGGTGCAGGGGTGACAAAAGGAGGGACCGGGGTGGGGAAGGAACAGTCCTCCTTAGGTTGCGTGGAGGGGACCTTCATTAAGGTGGCGAAGGGGAGCGCCTACTCGAACTCGGTCGAGCATCATGCAAGTTAGTGGTTCGGGTGACGTAGGGCACGGGGCTCACAGGATGATGCTACAGATGAGGAGCTTGAGTTGCCATTTGTTGTTGCTACGATCTCATCACCTTCATTTCTTCCAGGAAAGTCAGTAACACCTTGTTCGAAGTCTTATGTTGATGTAACAACGTATTGAGCTCCATCATCATGAGACCTGCTTCCAATGAGCCTTTGTTGTTTGGTTTAGATCTTCCCGGAGTTGGTGGTTGTGGTGAGTTGCCTCCAACCTTTTGTTGACCTCTCTTTCCGCTTTCTCCTTAATCGTGGATCTCCAGGACCCCTGTGTCATTAATCTTCGACATCCCGTCATCTTTCGCCTTCTGGATTCCTTTCCCCTTCTCTGTTTCCTTCTCCTTTGGTTTATCTTCCAGTCCTTTAATGTTCCTCTCAACTTTCTCAAGAATCCTTGTCTTCTCCTTGTCGAATTGTGTGTCATAATGATGATATCCTCTTGTCTATAATTTGGGCCAACCTCGCCTCCTTCAGAGCTTCTTTAGTGTCTTCTTCCTCCTTTCTCTTCGTTTCTTCTTCCTTCGCCTTTCGTTCCTGTTCCTCTCTCTGCCTTCTGTCATCTTGCTCCCTTCTTCGTTGTTGTTCCGTATGATGTCCATATGCGATTTCTCGCACCAGCGCCATCAGTTTCTCGTCCCTTCCCATATAGACCCATCCAGACTGTCGTTGTTGATACGGTACTAAAGTCGTTAAAGGCACGACTGCAGTTGTTGATATCAGAATTGGCGCCATGACTGTTGGAACCATTGAAGAAATCATGGGAGGTTAATGAGGAGGAGAGGGTGGAGGAAGGAGAGGAGGGGGAGAGGGAGGTGGAGGGAGTGCAGGGGGTGGTGGAGAGGGAGAGATAGGTGTTGGAGGGGGAACGTGATCGCGAGCATGTTGATAAGAGTTATTAGCGTAATTATATGTTGGTCCTCGCACCAGTTTCCCCGAAATCAAACCATCTATTCCGACTAAATACGGACAGTTACGTCTAAAATAACCATTGTGCCCATAGTGATAGCACGACCCATAAGGCACAAGACTTTCGCCCGGACTTCCTACTCTCTTGCACACTAACACTGGTTGATTACCAAAAATCGTAAGAGATCATGCAAGTAAGCAGTAAAACATTGTGGAGGCGATACTACTGCGCCAAACAAATCTCGAACCTCAGCAGCCTTCAGCCTCGGCACACTCGTGGTTGAGGCGATACTCGAACCTTAGCAGCCTTCCCGACACGCTCGTGGTTGAGGCGCTACTCGAACCTCGACAGCCTTCAACTCCGACACGCTCGTGGTTGAGAAGAAGATCGACGTCATGCAGATCCACCAGAGCATGATCATCACGCTGGTTAACAAGCTCCCGACAATAAGCTGTTAGGATCGTGACCAGGCCAAAGCCCATTAACCACGAACCGATTGGACACGTTCACAGTCGAACGTGCAGCAAGCACTTTGAAAAAACTTCGTCAGAGTGTCATTCGCCTCACACATATCATCAAGACTCGAACAAGGATAAGGAGAGAATTATAGGGGTAGAAAGAGAGAGAAAGATAG